TATATATATTAATTATTCGGAGAGTCACTAAAATTATTTCAATCCGAAATTTTTGGAGGGTTTCAATTAGGATTTTGATTGATTTTCTGTTTTTATTCACACGTGTATCGAATTGAATCCAATGGAATCAAATCATTCCACTTTTGGAAGGATGTGCTGCAAGCCACGGGCAAGCTCATTCATGGTGGAAGATGACAACAAGAAGCTTGTTGCATCATCCCCTCTCAAACTGAACTGTTTGAATAGTTGCACTTTAAAAATCAACCGTCTTTGAATCGTATTGCACACCACGTGATCAGATGTGCATTGAATCACCTTTTTTTTTGATGCACGCCGCATGTGTGTGTGTGTGTACATGTATATATATGTTTGAATGTCTTAATTATTTGATTGGTTTTAGCTCCGCCCAGCTACAGTGAAGTGCTGTCCTTTAAAACCTGGCCATTAAATACATTGCTCAACTTTCATTTCTGATAGCTTCTCATATATATATATATATATATATTTTTTTTTTTTAATTGTATTTGAAATGTATTTTTGAAGCCATTTTGCATATGTTTACATCCTTCCATTAACTTGCACCTGACGCGATGACACGTGCAGTGCTTCCATGTGAGTCGAAGTTGACCCGAGTGTTAAAATGACACAAAGTCAGATGCTTATCTCTAAACTTTTGTGTGTGTGTGTGCGTGTGTGTGTGTGTGTGTGTGTGTGTGTGTGTGTGTGTGTGTGTGTTTGTATGTGGGTGTGTGATTGTTTTTTTGGGAGGAGATACAAACAGTCGGCCAAGAGTTAACCATTTGACTGTTTGAGCACAAAGACCTCCGCGCCATCAATAGTGCACGGCACCTCTGGGACAATGTCCATCTGGCAGCTTCTCTATTATGCGTCCGGGCGGGTGGCATTTCATCACGTGAACAGATCATGTGCATGTCCATATGCAAATTCGTCACAGTGGTGTCGCTGGCAAATATTTGATTTTTTATTTTTTTTTTTAAGGTCACAGCCATCCATCTGTATTTACACATTGACATCATTTGATGTGGATGTCTTTGCGATCTTGTCTTGCATTTTTTTTATTGTTAGGGTCCTCTTAATTTGGGTCTTTTACCACATCTGTCAAAAATACTTTGATCTTTAATTCCAATGCTTTAATTTAACTTTTCATTGCTGCAGCACGTTCATGGGGATTGATGGCAGCACATCTCAGAAGTCAACTAGATAGTACAACCTAATATGAATAGACACATTCCCACATACCAGATTCATGCATTATATCTATATATCTATATCTATCTATATCTATATGGGGGGGGTCGTCTTGCTGACTAACAAACAGCAAAAACATATTGTATAAAAACAAAAATACATGGTCAACCGATGACAATTTGGTGGATTAGACAAAGTAAAGTCGGCTACTGTAAGTGTGTGTGTGCGTGCGAGTGTGTGTGTGTGTGTGTGTGTGTGTGTGTGTGTGTGTGTGTGTTGGTGAATATCAGTTGATCCCAGGCAAACATTTGCCCTCCTCAGCATTCCTGGGATGTGATGAGTCCAGCATTCAACAGGGACAACCTGTTATCCACTCATTCACTTCCCACAGATGGCCAGCCATTGTCCAGCGGCCAGCCGGCCCTGTGGGGCACGCACACACACACACACACACACATACACACACGCGCACACGCGCACACACACACACACACACAAATTCTTGCCACCGTTGAAATGAAAAAAAAGTCTGGTGTGAAAAGTTGATTTCAAGGTAGCACCCATTGTCACTGTTCATGTTGGACGGGTGTATTGCTGTGCATAATTAGCATCCGTTGTTCAATGTAAAGATCATCCCTGGTGTTGCATCACTCGTCTTATTTTTGATTCCAGATATATTTGGGATTGCGTTTGTCTGCAAATCAACTTATTGTCTGCTTTTCTCCTTTGCAGATCTCCTTTTGCTGCTACTTCCTAGTCGATGGATTTATCACTGGCGACGCAACGATATTTTAGTAAGTTTTGCCTGTTTGATGGGCCTTTAGCCCACAGCGTAGTGCGCCGCTCCCAAATCAAATGAACCATGACGTGTTGGACACAAGTTGATGTCAATGCCAACCCGTTGACACCAACTTGTGTCCGAAATATGGAAATGCAACTCGCTCACCGTGACTCCCGCCTCTGCACATTGCTTCCTTGCCGCAGGTACTTCGCGCTGCATGCTGTTGAATTGATAACTTGCTCGGGAGCGATATTCGCCTCAACATGGTTCGCGAACCAGCTACCCTCACTACAGACTAATTTCTCTGCAGGTTAAAAAAAAAGCAAGGGAAGCATGGGTGACTGGAGCTTTCTGGGGCGACTGCTGGAGAACGCTCAGGAACACTCCACCGTGATAGGAAAGGTAACCGATGGATGGCGAGGGCCCGTTGTCATTTGATTTGATTTTTTTTTTTTTGATGACACAATCCAAGGTGTCCAACTCCGCTTCTTCCTCAAACCTTGTGGTCCTTCCTCCCCAAGGTTTGGCTGACCGTCCTCTTCATCTTCCGTATCTTGGTGCTGGGCGCGGCGGCGGAAGAAGTGTGGGGCGACGAGCAGTCCGACTTCACCTGCAACACGCAGCAGCCCGGTTGCGAGAACGTTTGCTACGACGAGGCCTTTCCCATCTCCCACATGCGCTTCTGGGTGCTGCAGATCATCTTTGTGTCCACGCCGACCCTCATCTACTTGGGACACGTGCTGCACATTGTGCGCATGGAGGAGAAGAGGAGGGAGCGGGAAGATGAGAACAGGAAAATGGGTCGCCACCTGGAGGACCACGATCCCCTCTACCACAACGGAGACGGAGGGGGCGCTTGGAAGAAGGAGAAGCCACCCATCCGCGATGAGCACGGCAAAATCCGAATCCGCGGGGCCTTGTTGAGGACCTACATCTTCAACATCATTTTCAAGACCCTGTTTGAGGTGGGCTTCATCCTGGGACAGTACTTCCTCTACGGCTTCCACTTGCGGCCGCTCTACAAATGTCGCCGCTGGCCGTGTCCCAACACAGTGGACTGCTTTATATCCAGGTCAGTTTTTTTTTTTCCCATCACTACATACCGTAAGGACCTTTGCTTGTCTGCAACCCCCCGTCGACAGTCTTTGAACCATCAACCTGGATTCCCTTACTATGATCAAGGTATCTCTGTCAATCAAATTTTCGCAAATTGCTATGCAGGGTGAGAATCCATAATTGAAACCACATTTCTTCTGAGTCCAAATTGAGGATTTGGCAGACTTTCTATTCCACACAGTTAAGTCAAATGTCCTAAAATCAGATTGTATGTTGTCGCGCATATCGCTGGATTCGGGCAAAGCGACGTCTCCAAAACCATCACGGGATCAAAAATGCAAAAAAGTACAATCAAATAAAGACACTGCGTTTTTGTTGCGTTATTAACATTGTGTCGTCAAAGATAGCAAGCCTTTTTCAAGTCAACTGACTTTAGATAGCTTCTCCTGTACTTCAGAAGACTCTGAGAAGATTTGGAAAAGACATGTAGAAATCACATCCCTGAAAAGACTGAAAGACTTTTGACGTGTTTGATATTGTCGCGGAAAATACGGAGCTGACAGCTGAGGTGACCAACTTGCACTAAACGACCAAGGTGATGGGAGCGCTCTGTGGCTCCAGTCAAACTCTAAAACTTCCTTCTGACTTTCGATTTTTAGTCAGAGACTTTGAAAATCGTGAGGTGTATACCCAGCTTTAGTTGGCAAGTCATTTAATAACACAGTGGAAATGACCCAGCAGGAAAGGTAAGTTACAAACATACGCTAATACAACGATGCAAAACAACAACAAAAAACAAAACAGGGACGCATAACGTCATTTAGTGCGGACCAAAGACTTGTTTGCTTTTTATCTGCATGATAATTCGAATGAGCGTATTTCAGTGACAGAGCAAACGCTATTTCAGGTATTATTGAAAATAGTGATTCTCTCCTGTTAGTTCGTGCCGCCATTTTGTGTGCGTACAATCGTTATGCGGGGGAAGTCACGTCTGTGTCGTTCATCGCGGTGATCTGCTAAGTTAGCATGCTATGCTAAGTTCGATGCTACGTTAGCTTAGCGAGCGTGACGATTATATCCTCGGGAGTCGTATTATGTTATTCTGTCTACCTTTAAGTCGCATCTGATAGCATACATGCATGTAACTTGGTTAATGTGCGTCACGCGGCTGTTGAATGTAACTAATCGAGTTGCTTGTAAGTTTGTTCAAGAAGTGAGCACTAATCACTTTACTTTTTCAAGGTAACTGTGGCAACCGAAAATAACAGACCCCCCCACTGGAGACTACTCTAATACTCATGTCTTTTTGTTGTTGTTGTTGTTGTCTCAGACTTAACTCAGACTCCTTGACAATTTACTTGGACTCGTCTCGGACTCGCAAATTATTTTTAGGGACTCGACGAAGCCCAACTGTTTTTAATGCCTGAAAAATGGCGTCCTCTTTCAAAAGGAACTTGAACTGAGGTTTTTCAGATGATCAAATTAGCCCTTGGATGAGTTAACCTGAGGTCATGGGGTGGGGGGGGGGGGAACCAACCCAGTCATTTCCATTCAGTAGCTTTGAGTTTGGTGCTATTTTGTAGCCACATTTCACTCCTCTGTGCAGTTTGCTGATCCCCGGTGCCCGCTCTCCTTGAACTTGATAAAGTTGGACTGGACTAAAGCCCCACCAATCGTGTAGATTTGTGAAAAAAAAAAAAAAGACATTGACCACATTTGAACATCGAAGGCGTTCGTCTGACAGTGACATGTTTAATCCTAAATGGATGCTTTTTCCTCTGATTCACAAGTTCCGCCTTTCGATGAAACTTAAACACTTGCCTTTCATGGTTAAGATCCTAAATAGATGCTGTTCACTCACTGATTTTGTAGGTGACAAATTAATTTGGGGCTCTTGGTTCATTCTGTGCATTTGCAGCCTACAGCGCATGACTGTGCCACCACTTGTTTTGTTGATTTGATGACTTTTCCCACGGCATATCGTTTTGACAACAGTAAATGGAGGGATGGATCCAGTTTCGGTTGGATTATGCATAGAATACAAAACTGAATTCTCTAAAATGCCGCAGAGCATTGAGGGCCGCTATCCTACATGTTTTGTGATGTTTTACCTCCTCCAACATATCTGCTTCAAATGATCAGGATCGTTCTCAGGCTTCCGCAAAGCGTGCTGATGAGCTTGATCCTTTGAATCAGGCGCGTCGCTGCCGTATAGGATCGCTACAACGACAAATCTCATGGCGGGTATCCATCTTTACCTTTCGCCTGAGTGCTTGTTCTTCTTTACGTGATGCTGCAGGCCGACGGAAAAAACGATATTCATCATCTTCATGCTGGCGGTGGCTTGCGGTTCTTTGGTGCCCAACC